TGGGCAAGTACCTCTTAATGTGACACCCTGCCACTTTTCATTTTGTCAGCTGATTTATAATCTTGTCTACCAATACTTAAATCTAACAAACAAACCCAAAACCACACAAAACAAACAAAAAATAACCCAAGCAAAAAAAAAAAACAAACCACACTTCTTGAGTTAATACAGACACAAAATAGTGATACAGCATTTTTATAACTGCTCATATCTGCCCCAACTATTTATTTCACTTTTTCTCTATCCACAGTTTTCATAGATTCTCTGGTATCCTTCTTTCCTCTTGATGCCTCAAAAAAATTAGTAGTTTTTATGCCTGCATCTTCATTGTATCTTCTTGTGCCAGCATGTTAATATTCTGATTCACCTTCTACATTTACATTAGCAGTTCCTTTATTTATGCCCCACCACCCCCTCCGGGTGCTTCCCAGCGTCTCTCCATCCCTGTGTCAGCGAATACCATGTACACTTCCTTCACATCACCTGCTTTCCTCCACAGCCAGCCTCCCACAGCCAGGCTGTTCTTACACCAAATCTTGTGCTTAGTCCCTTCTCTCACTTCACAGGTTTCAAATCCTTCTTATTCCTTCCCCCATCATACATTTCAAAGAATACTAACTCAGTGAAAGATGACAAGCTCTTCCACTCTCTTTTCCCTGTGAATACCTATCTTTATTTTTCTCACTGTAACCATTACTGATGTTTTCAACCTGCTGCCTCTATCCCCTCCAGGGGCTGCCATGATTCCCTCCCTCTTCTCTTGTCTCCTCTGCAACCCCTATCCTTTGATGTCTTCCCTTCCAAAAGAACACTTATTTTGTTTCAGCATGCTGCCTCTCTGGGACACATGCCTACTTTGTGTTTGAAAGAGCACCTGGCATGCTGTGGGCATAAACAGACAAGTAACTGCAGATCTGACATCGAGACTGCAGCAAGGTTGACACAGAGGAGCAACAGGGAGGCTGGCCTAGAAAGGGCTGGAGCAAGAGAGCTGGCACGTATAGTATCTTGAATGTCACCAGTGACCAAGACCACCACCCAAAGCCTTACCTTCTCACGCCATGCAGCCTTCCGGTGAGTTACAAGCTTATGCAGTTGGTCATGGAGGGTCATTAGATCTCTAGATAATCTGTCAATTTGCCCAGTCAGACTGTCAGCCCAGGGGCAGCCTGAGGTTGCCTCTGCCAGCTCGCTTTTCTCTATATGAGCATCCTGGGACTCGCACATATTTCCCTCTTCAGCCACATTATCTAACACAATCTCCTAAAGGAAAAATAATACAGGTTACTTTTCGGTAGGAGCTAAAATGGTCTGCTCCCCTCTCCCCCCATCTTTCTGGTAATTCATAACTAGAAATTCACTGCTGCCATCTCGGTATACAGTTGCTCCACAATTTCAGAGTTATTTTAAGAGATAACCTCCTCAGTTCACATATTTCCAAGTTAACAGAAAACTTATGTTGCTAACCTAGCTTATTTTAGAAAGCACTGCATACTGTGAGCTACCCTGCACTGCGCTAGAGCATAATGAAACACTCATGGGACAGAGATCATCAGTACTGCAGAAACTCTAGATACATCCCCCCTTTCCCTCAGCCTCTGGAGCTGGATGCACTTTTTTTTGTAATGAAGTGAAAACCAGTAAGGTGATGCATGCTTACACTGTCCAGCAGAGTCCCATCTGCCATGTGGCACAGTCAGTTGTGACACCCACGGGGTCACTTGTGCCCATGTAAAACCCCACAAGTTAAGGAACCCCAAGAGCTCCCTGCTTCAGCCTGGTCAGAAGTTCTTGTCACCTCTGCTTGACCATGACCACCTAAGCTGGTTCTATAATTAATTTTTCAACTGCCTTTGGAGATAGTAACCATTGTTTGAAATACTCAAAAAAAACCCACCAGATAACTTGACAGTCCTTGAAATGCAGGTACATACAAACTGTGTACAATTACATACACAAATTATATAGAAACACACATCTTTCAAGCCAGGGTAGCATAGCATAACTAAGGGACCTAAGCCTCCTCCCTCAAAGAATATTAAATATTTATTTCCATAGTGTTATTAAGAAGACATTAAATAGGAGCGGTCATAATCTCTTTTAAGGGCATAATTTGCATTCAAAATTATCTTCAGAAATTGAAAAAGCAATTTGAAAACAGTGAGAGGAAATTCAGCAGTTGAGCAGCATGGTCTACAGACGGGCAAAAAACCTCTAATACGTAATTACTGGCTCAGCAGCAACACTACTGGAAGAGATGTCATAAAGCCAGAAGTCACCAATGTCATACTGTTAAAGTCAAGTACCACTTTAGGAACTATAAATGCAAGTCTCTGTGATAGAAGAGCGTTGACTGTAACACTGACATGCAGGTGAGGCTCCTGAAGTTAAACACAGACAAATGGGAGGGAAAGTCCCATATGAGAGTAGCAACAACCATCAGAAGTTTAAATGAATGGCCTACAAGGAGACATTCAGAGAACCAATTTTGTTTAGCCTAGAAACAGGGACTGGGAAGGCAGTGACATGCTAACAGCCTTCACTTATATAAAAGATTGCTATAAAGAGGATAGGACTGTTAGCATTCTCCCCCCTTCTCTGTGAGTAGGTTAAAAACTCTGGCTGAATCCACTGCAAGAGATTTTTTGGTTCACACAAGAAAAAGCTTTGGAAGATAACTAAGAATGGCAAAAGAACCCCACAAAACCTCCTTTCTCAGTGAGCACTGGCACAAAGCAGCACTGAGGCCAGGAGCTCATGCTATCAAAAGGCCCAGCTCATGACAACACAGACAGGATCTGGGCCTTGACAGGATAACAAACCGTACAGAAATAAAACAAAACTTTTTTGCTATGTCATGTTTTGGGTTTTTTTTGTGGGTGTGGTTTTTTTGTTGGCTTTTTTTTTTTTTTTTTCTTTCCTCAAACGGAATTCATTAAATGACAGCTTTTTAAAAGTAACATTACTGCAGTCCTGTTGTTGTGGTTGTGCCATCCTCCTGCCCACAAGCCTCCTTAGGAAGATCTGGCAGTAGCTATGCAAGGATCATTCCATCCATCACATCAGCAAATGCAAAATATGGGTAAGTAGAAAGAGAAAACTACTGTATCCTCAAAGTGTATCTCATTCCCATACATCCTACAGCATCCAGGAACAACCACCACGATCAGCAAAACAAAAGAAAGGCAAATTTAGCATCCAGCCTACAGAACAATTTAAAAAGACACTCTGGTCATGTTTTCTTGCAAGTTATATACTCAGGACCTAACTCCAGGAAGCACAATAACAACACTCTCCAAACTGTTCAACATGTCAGAGGCAAATGTTTCGGTGGATACACTGAAATGCCATAATACTTGCAGTTCTATTTTCCCTACCTGGAGCCAGGCTTATGCTAGTGTTGATGCTTTCCAAATAACCATAAGATGGTTATTAACATTCGGCTTCACTGATTCTCAGAATTTTGTGAACTCATATGGCTAATGTGGTGCTCTAAAAATTATTTTCAGCAACTGTGAATGGGCAAAAGTTGCAGAGAAGTGAGATAGATGGTATCGTTTACACTCACTTGAGAAATCCTAAGATGCACAGAGAAAGACTTATTGATTTTCTTATGATCATCCAACACAGCTGAAGGGGAAATCGGCAGTTTCAATACACTATTTGGCTAGGAAAAATGATGTTGTTTTCAGTATCCGCTGCTTGCAAATTTAGTTGTTCTCAAGTCTGCAATAAAGCTTAGAGGCCTTCTTCTGAAAAGCTATTTAATTTTAAGAAAATGTATGATTGCTATGTTTAAAAAACGTTCAGATCAGTCATTTTCATTTGTGTTAACTGTATGAAATTCTGCCGCTCTGCCCTGCAATTCCTCAGCTTAGCTACGCCAGTCTTACTGAAGAAAGGGATGAAGGAGAACTAAGGAAACATTTCCTTCCTTTACAAAAGGCTTTTTTCCTGTTGAACTGTTGGTTTGCAACATTTATGTTTGTAGGTAGGACCTTTGGATGTGGTCAGCTATGTTAGAGACAAGAAAGCTACACCCTTCAAAATCAGTTTGATTCATTACCATCCACTGCCAATAAACCGGTTCCAGTTGCTTCCACTGCAGAAAGGCTTCTAGTTGCATCGTTTCAGACTCCAGAAGCTGTAACAGCTACAGGAGAGGAGACAAAGGAAGAAAAAAAATAATCAGGTAACACTGATTACTTGTGAACTAATTTAAATGTGTGTTTGGTCTGAAGTACAAAAACAGTGTTAGGGGTACACAGGACACCACCAGGTTACTTTACAAGAACCTTGAAAACCAGCTGCAGAAATGTGATGTAAAATGCTTCCCAGCATCACTGATTTATTCCTCACCCCAAATGTACAAACATCACCAACTTTTATGTACATAACTGTGTTTCCATATCATTTTGAGGGATTGAAAAGACACAATTCTGATACTTTGAGTGGATGCATGACAATCTTCAGATCTACGCTTTTTAATTGCCAAAATAAGCTATGTTTCTCAAAGAGTATTTTTTTCACATTTATCAAGGCTGTAAGGTCCTAACACCACCTTCTCTTCCATTCTCTCAGCTAAAACTTACACAGTTGGTTTTTGACCAAATCTCCTCATATTCAATAGTAATGACCCCAAATGCAATACACAGGGACCTCCACTACTCCAACATATCTCCTTCCCATGCTGCTCCCACACCTGCAGAAAACTCAGAACTCCAGTATCTCCAGTGCTTTCTGCGGCTTCCCCCAAAACCTTTTATCTCAAACTGAGATGATCTCTGATGCTCCAAATAGCATTGAAGAACATCCTGTAAAAATGTTATGTATTTTAAAAGTTGCCTGATCTGCTTCATGAGGAATCCCTCCCTTCAACACTTGAAGGAGAGAGGTTATGTTCTAGGTACACAAATTGTAAATTTTTCATAAATACATATGTAATACATGTACACACACGTGTATGGAGAGAGAGACATTCCAAGACTAAGTACTTATACATCAGTGAAACAAAAGTTTGTGGAAAGAAGGATACATGAACAAATTAGGTATAAATCAGAGCTTACCAGCTTTAACAATTTCAGTACTGGCCATATTTTTGAAATGAACAATTTTAACACCAATCTGACGCCAAGATTTTAAGATGACACACAAATAGTATATGGTCTCTAAGAGAATGATAAGGATCAGATTGGTACCAATTAAACTGACCTTATACAGACAACTATCTTCTGCTAGCTTTGTTTAGTTACTTCCTACATAACATACAATTTAAGTAACTGCAGAGCATGAGTTGACTTTGCATTTTTATTCTGCAGCTATAACTTCAAGAGAAAGGAATCAAGGAAAAGAATGCACTTTACAAGAGTAACTGCTGGAAATTATGAACAGTTTGCTCTAAAACACTGCTGGATCCAAAATACAATTATTACACATTTGTTGGCACAACTGACACTTGGCATTACACTTAATGACTCCACTAGTTTCAAGCTCAGCTGGTATATGAAAGGTGGAGGAACGAGCTTCTGTCTCCCTTTTTCTTCTCTTCTTTTCTTCACAGGTGTATGTATAACACAAATGGCTTACATTATGAGATCTGATGCCAGCAATAAAACCCATCCAATATTCAGGCAACAGCTGAGTTACTTGGTTTTAAAGTAGTGTGGTCATGAGCTGTGTGTGATTGCAGTATGAACATGTCTTGTGACAAAGAGGGCTGCATGGGGAGCTTTTCATTTTAAGCCTTAAAAAAAAAAAATCTTTGTAAAAACATAGTCATCATCTTTAGTTTTAGTCTCACTAGAAGAGTTCCTGAATGTTAAAAAACCCATATGCCGCTTGCTTTCACAGCACAACTGAAACGATATGGTTCTGAAACTTCACTAAACCTGTAAACAATCTGTTGGAGTTAACTGACCTTCACAACAATCAAAGCCTTCTGAGCAGCCTCCTAATCTCAAGCCTTCCAGGATTTTTTGTATTTTGGGGTTTTTTTGCTGTCTTTTTTTTTTTTTTAAACTGCTTCATTAGTTATCCAAAACTTGAAGAGCTCATTTGAAAGCATTCATCTGACTCAGCTACTTAGGGCAACCTCACCTTTCACTAAGGTATTAACCACCTTCAGAAATATCAGGCCAGCAGCTGTGTACTAGATTGTTTCAGCCATAATTCAGTCCTGGGATGACTACTCTGCTTATCCTAGGAGGACAGTCTTCAAGCTAGCTGGAATGCACTGTGAGAGCACTGGGCAGCCTGCAATAGCCAACATTTGTGTTTCTGCCTGAGGGACTGAACGCAGTTCCTGGACGTCAGTATCCTCTGCCAACCTTTAGATGGGCCTTGCAAGGATCTGATGTTATTGCAGCAGGGAAAATAAAGCATAGCACAATAACAACAAATGTACTACAAATATCCTTGAGTTACCTTGGCAAAAAAACATTGAAAAAATAAAAGCAGGGACAGGACAATGGACTCACGCCATGAATTTGGTCACAAGGACTGTTTCTATATGATCCAGGGGTGACAGGCTTTCACTCAGACATAGCTCCACTTAGGAAATGGACAGCTATCTGTATCAGCCAGCTTCTTTCCCCAGCCTCATCCTTTACTAAGGCTTCTCATGAGCATTTATTGCTTTTTAACTAATCTACACCTTTTGTGACTTTAAGTTCAATGGCATACATTTTCTTAGGTCACTCATCAGTCACACCACAGCTGGTATTTCAGCTCTTACTTGCAATTGCAGAAACCAAAGCCCAAATTGTGCCTCTGCATTTTCCCCAAATACAGTACCTTTTCTTATTCACTTAGTACCAACAACAGTTCACAGAGATGCTTTTATGTGTGATAAGCAGTTCCACTTCTGCTGCTACATAAACCTCTCAGAATGTAAGACAAATTCACAGGCCAACTAAAGCTGCTTATTTTCAGTGACCTAAGGACCCAGAAGTTGTCATGCCTTCTAATGAAATTTAAAGACTGTCTGCAGAAGAGCATTAATTTTGTCTCATGAACAAAGTCAAGCAGCAAGTCAAAAGCGTGCCTTACATGGATATCCAAATGATGCTTAAGGATAATGCATGAAAATTGTCTTTCCCTCCATACAAATATAAGACAACAAAATCCATTTCCTTCATTCTTCTGAAGGAAGTTACTGCTCTAAGATACACTGAGAGGAAAAGTAATGACAAATTCGAATTGCTAATCTCCATGGAGAAGTAATTCCATAATGAATGCTGAGAGCAAACACTTTGCAGTAACAACTTCTCTAAACCATTGTAAAGAAACCATCAGGGGTGCAAATGACTTGCAAGCAACAGCTTTGCAATGGAGGCTAAACTGTGCTTAATTGAGCAGCCTCAGTGCAGGCTGCCAGAAAACCTCAGAGTGAGGCAGAAGAATGTGAACTCTGTGAAGAACATGCCTCACTTCCTCTTGACATATGTCTGTGATCTCCAAAGCCAAACATCCAGCATCCAACGCAGCTCATGGACCTCAGGAAACTTTGGGAACTTCAGCTACCAAAGTCCTAGGTGACAACGTCTTCTAGGTGACAACGTCTTCTAGGTGGTTTTGGATACTGAACAAGAGGCCAAAGCTGAGCTCGCTTTGGTAGCCTAAAGTCTAACTCACATCAGAATCATTATTTAAACATACTTGTAATTACTTTTTCTGTTGAGATATTAATCTTTTTCATATTATTTACTAGCATATTACTAAATTCATTGATGCTTGTAGACTGTTACAGGAATCAATATTTAATAATTTGCAGCATTATGCATCCTTTTTGTAGGCTGAGCTCCAGAGAGCTCCCTGCAACAAGTACTTTAATGCCACAGATCATAATTCAACTGTCACATCTCTGGCAAAAATATTTTTAATCAAAAATTCCTCTGCCTAAATATTCAGAAAAATCATTCCATTGTTAGATAGACAAAAACCAGCCTTTCAGCAATAAATTATGTCTCTTAGCTGAGAGACAAAATACTGCTGATTCATCACTGATTCACATGTGACTGTAGACAGAAAATTTGCATTGGACTCCAGATCACTGCAAACACCACTTCAAATGCCAACGTCTCTGAAGAGTGAGTCAAGGCTCGAGACATTGTTGGCTTAGTATGAAACCTATATGGTTGGCTAGTATGAAAGTATCAAGAGGCTATTTTCATACTTTTATTTATTTAATAGGAAATGGCTTTATTCATCCTCTGAATATGTAACAACTGCAGGAGAAGGTAAGTGGAGAAGTTCCTTCAAAAAAATGCAAAGGGTAAACACTCATGAAAAAGTTAAACAATTTACATTGCCAGAAGTAAAACATAACTGGGATTAACGCTTTAGTGACCTAACCAAGCATCAGATGAAATAAATTACAAACTCCCTTACCAAAAAAAACAAGCAAATCTTGACAAATAAGAGTCTCTCAGCAGGCAGGCTGTTAGGTGGATGAAATTTGGTTTAAAATGGTACATACTGCCCAAATTCAACTTTAGCAGGGCTAGGTTTTGAGAGCTCTTTGCCAAAAAAAACCCAAAAAAATCCAAAACAAACCACCACAAAACCCAAAGATGAACAAACAAATAAAAAGTAAACCAACCAAAAAACAAGAGAAAAATCTTGCTATTGTAAACATCTCAGGCTAGGCCAAAACCCCAGCACTGTAGGTGGACACACTCAGTGCTCTAAGATTCAGTTCCACAGTGTGATTTCTCTAGAAGTAAAGCTGGTTTAAGTCATTCCCATATATCCCTTGAAGGCTGAAACAAAAATAAATAGGTCTGAAAACTAGAAAGTCACACTGGAGTACTGTGAAGTACAAGCAGCTGAAGAGCAAAAATCAACAGACCAATATGCAGCCTCAAGCCACAAGGCAAATAAAGATCTACTCGGGTCATTTCTCTGCCTGTGAAATATCACTGAGGGTTGAGACAGAACAGGAGAAACACCACAGCCCTCAAAATCAAAATGCAGATGGAACAGAAAGTCTCCTACATGACTGAAGTAGATGAAAGTTTCTCCTCCTATCAGCAGCTACAGACTCCATAGGGGCCCTTGACCAAAAAATTAGCAGGGATGGGAAAGGCCCTTTTCGGCTCCAGCAGCAGATATTTCTGTGTCTACTGAGCATAATTTTTTTTTATTTTTAATGCT